CCCATTATTAAGTCGGGCTTAGTCATAGTTTTAGGCCCATGGGCTCGGGCGCAGGTTTTCTCAAAAAAGCCCAGTCCGAGCCTGAGCCCCACTTGATATTATATATTAAATAATAAAAAATATTTTTTATTTAATAAAAATATATATAATATTTTTCTTTGTTCTTCTTCTCTTTCTTTCTAAGTAATAGTGAGATGTTTATTATTTTTGAGTTTTGAAGATTTTTAATATAAATAAAACACTTTTTTATTGAATAAAAAAAAGAAAAAAAATGTTTTCAAAATTCTGGTCGAGTTTCGGGCTTTATATGAGGATCGGGCTTGGGCTCAAGACTTAGGCCCGATGATCGGGCTGGGCTCAAGCTCGGGCCTAAGTGTATTTTGTTTATACATATACAAAGCCTGGCCCGGCCCATGAACAGGTCTGAATCTTGCCTATGCCATGACAAAACAGGGGAAAAATAAACAAAGAAATGAAAATGAGAAGACTAAAGCAATGGAGAGTAAGGTGGTGACGAGGATTACTTGAACTGGATTTAGCCTAAGCTGATCGATGCCATGGAGAATGAGAGCTTTGTTTTGGTTCGAAACCGTATTCCTTTAACAGGATAAGGAAATTAGGAATACCATGGATTCATAGTGTTCAAAATTAAGTGAAGGATGGACTTAGGTGACAGTTGCTACCATTGATTCGCTGAGACGGTACTTTTGTTTCTATCACAAGGTAGGGTCTTTGAACATTCTGAGTTGATTGGTAGGGTTTGATTGGCCCAACCAGGCCCAGATCAATCTGATCTAGAGGGGTAGTGGTTCAATCAATCTAGAGCTTCGAAATGGAATCTTGGTGTGATGAAGGGGCAAACAAAGGCAGTTTTGGGTGAAACTTCACAGGATAGGGTCTATGGGCAGTTTGAGATGATTGGTAAGGTTAGATTGGGCCAACTAGGCCTGGATCGGGTAGATTTAAAATCCAGTCAATTTGGGGCTTTGGAATGGAATCTAGGCATGATGGAGGGGAAAGCATAGGTATTTTGGGTTGAAATTTCACATGTGGGTATTTTAAAGTACCAGGGATCTGGTGGCAATGTCTGATAGATTAGGGGGGTCACGATTGTGGGACTCTGAGTTAATGAGATGATTTAAAACGGAATCTTGATTTGATGAAAGGGTAAATGGGAGAGTCYTGGGTCGAAACTTCATGGGCAATTGTTTTGGTATGTCTAGTGCTCAATCATATGGTTTGATTGGTTCATATGTGTTTGAATCAAGAGGATCTAGGATGTAAGTGTTTCAGGCTAACGAGAATGGTTGAAATGAAATCTTCACTTGATGAAGAGGTAAACGGAGGAATTTTGAGTTGAAATTTGTTAGATAGGTATTTTAGGATAATCAGGGTCTAATGGTAGTGTCTGATATGAGGGTCAAAGTGCAAATGGGGATTGATCGATGTCATTTTATTAGTATCGGGTAGATTTAATGGTGGATTTGAGGGCTTTGAGGCTGAAAATTGGGGTTTTATTGGTATTTGAGTGTTTTAGAGAGGATGGATGGATCTAATTGGCTGTTTGGGGTAAAGTAGAGGCTCAGACGACGAATCGAAYAAAAATCGGATGCTAACAATTCTCATGCTGATGAAACTTGGGAAATACACCCACACCTACACTCTAATAGAGCTTCTGGTCTTTCGGTTCCAAATTATTAATCATTTATTTGCTAATGAGCTTGTAGTTGGGTTGGTTGCTCCGCATCAATGCTCTCCCTCAAATGATACAATGGAAATATACTTAGTCTTTGTCTTTGCCTCATGTACCATGCGAAAAATCCAAACCATTTATTTTCCTCTCTCCATTTAAATTCTTAATTAGTCCTCTATCAATTATCCAATTCTGTTTCTGTTTTGCATGTTGGTCCTAAAAGAACATAAAGTAGTTCTGAGGTGGCCTGAGTATTTCAGAGAAAATCGTGTATTAGAAATTGAAGGAATGGAATTATTGTACTGTTATTGTTGTTGAAAGATTCAATTTCCGACAGAATATCACCTTCTGTATGTGCTTCTTTGAGAAGTTCTAATAAAATTACCTTTTAGCAAGCATGTATGATTTTATAAAACTTTGGATTTATTCTTTCAGTAGAAGTGATTGCATTCATTTATTATACTATTTATGGTTTGGTTTTGCAATCATCTTTTAGTGATTATAGAATTTGGATCTACATATACTACAAACACAGCTTATGTATGTTGTTACCAATGGGGAAATACCTTTGAGACTGCAATTTTTGGCCCCCATAAAGAAAAAAAAAAAAAAAAAAAATCCTAACTCCACCCTGCCAAGCTCATAATTGTATTGTTTGTTTAATTGAATAATGTGTGAATTTAATTTCTAAGGCTGCATTTGTTTAGACTGCAAATACAAAAATGAACACAATTTCCAAACCGTTTTTCCAGCTCCAATTCATCCCATTTGGTTTTGATCGATACAAACACAGAGGAATATTTGTGGTCATTTGGAACTGCCCATCCTTACAAATGCAAAGGGCCATATTGCCGTGACTAAGATATGATGACGTATCAACCTTCTGTCGCCATACTACAAAAAACAGTAAGAACAGAGGCTCTATTTTCTCAATCCGGAAATATCACTGGTTAAGGAAAAAACAATGATTGGAAACAAATCATCTCCCAACCGGCTATAGATCGAACCTAAGTATTCGCATTTCTTGTTGTCACATTTCAAATCTTTAACTTTTATACAGATATGAGATTTTCACAACCTTCCACCGGTCAGAGTAGGTTCTCGGATCTGCTACCCACAAGTTATTCCCACACAAGATTACAGTTGCCCATTAGGAATATCTCTCATTTTCATTCATAAGGAGATATTCCCAATACACGGTAGTGGTGTTCCATGGTGTATAGATGTGGAAACATTTTGTGGGTAGCAGATCTGGAGTGTCAGAGTAGCGGCTAGTCAAAGATCTTTACAACCTAGTCAGGGATTTTCACAACCTTTTACATTGACTGGAAATCTCCCAACCAGCTATAGATTTTCACAACTTATTTTTTCCTTCGCTGGTTCACATATCTGTGGTATATTGTCATAGATATGATGGATGAGATCAGATCATATTGATTCCTACTGCAAGCAAGACAAAGCTGATACCTTAGGGCTGTCTTCCGATCAGATCTGAGTTGCCGGTTGGGGATCCCCACTCGTGGGAAAATGGAAGTTCCATTGTGAATTTGCGATATTACTTGCTGTGGAGACTGGAGAATCACTCCCTTTGCAGAGGTTTTAGAAAAGACTAAGGTCCCACCAGAAAGATTGCCGTTGGCCGAGAAAGAGGGAGGGTGACGGTTGATGGTGTGGGAAGTGGTTGCAAGTCGGTGGTGGATGAGAGCATTGACGTCTTCGGTTTACTTAGTTAGATCTTCAATCACAGCGACGTCTGGTTTGATTCTTTTGAAACCAAATTTTGTACTCTTCTTTGGGGTAAACATCATCACGTGTGCATATTTCCATCGATTTGTGTGTTTGCACTCCCAAACAAACGTAGACTAGATAAAAAGTAATGATTTGCTTATTAATACATTCTTGGATCTCCATGTGGTACTTGTTTTTGTTTTGAGAAACATAATCATGCATGCAAGTGAACACCCCCTACCCTAAATCTTGAGATGGTGCCATTCTAACATTTTGACATTTTTAAAGTCAGGTGATGTCCAAATTTGTTCTACCCTTGTACCCTGGCAGGAACAGTCCTAACCCAATTTACCTCTTTTTATGCTTTGGGATGAGGAGTGATCCTTGGGGTGTCGATCAAAAAGATCCAAAATTGTTGATTGAAGTAAGATTTAGAAAGAGAGATTAGCTTCTCTGATGCAATAAAGAGGAAGAAAGAACAATTGCAAGGGCACCAAATCAAAATGCCCTGATGAAAGACAACCAACCTTGTGAGCAAGGTCAGATGCTTACAAGTAGTCAGTAAACCATTCGAGATCCTCCAATTCTGTCAAAGGTGCTCTCTTACTCTCTTCCTTCCACACCAGCATATGCACACATGCTCTCTCTCTCTCTCTCTCTCTCTCTCTCCATACACACACACACACAGAGTGCAAGTTTAAGTACTACATTGTGTTATACATAAAAAATTTGAAAAAACTTGATTGGCCATCCTTCTTTGGAAGACAGCACTCCATGTTTACTTTATTGTTGATAAAGCACTCTAATGAATATGGGCAAAAATAAAAACAAAATTTGGATCAAAGGCATGGATGGAGAGTTGGATAAAGAGAGACAATAATTATCATGGGGATCATAAAGAACCCCCCAACCCCCTCTTCCAACTAACTAGGATGAACAGTTACCTAAATATACAGCATTACTACTATACACAGAATACTAATGACTGGTTGATTTAGTTACCAGCCATAAATAGGATTCTCTACCTGTGGTGGCAAAAGATGAAGGTCCTTACAGTGTTGCTTGTTGTAGTTTCTTGTGCCAGGTATAGCTCCTGTACACAGCCTCAAGATCTCATTCCCTGTGAGACAGTAGTGTGCAAATGCTAGACCCCCATCTACCATCTCCATCAAGCTAGGCACTGAAACTGCTTTAATATGTTTCCCATTGGCTTTGCTCGATTCTGCAACTCCCTTACTGTAACTTAAGACTTTGTCCAGATCAGAAGACTCTATAAATCTCTGAGTTGCGGCTTCCCAGGAGAGATTATATATCTGCTCTGGGGTAAGAGGCTGAGGCTCATTAGCCAATGCTTCTTTCACCCTTGCAACAAAGTCTTCTGATGTCTTATAAGTCAAACAGTTGGGAAATGATCTAAAGAATTCATTTGATGGAAGATCTGCACAAATTACAAATTTTCCCATTGCAAGAGCCTCTGCTGTCGCTGTACAAAGGACATCACTGACACTAGGATTTATGAAGACCTTGTAACTGTAACCATTAACAAAAAAGAACAAGTGTATTAATCAAGCATACTCTTCATTAGAAAGAAACAGAAGGAAATTGAATACAAAATAACAAGCGGCTAAATAAAACAGGTTTGTTAAATTAGTTCATACCCATGAAGTGAGTCATCTGCATGATCCCTCCCTTTAAGGAAGTTCACATTCAGGTCAAACTGCTTAGCAGCAGACTGAACTTCATGTGCATCTTCTCCATTCCCAAAGACATCCAACTTAAAACCCTCAAGGTCATTCTTATGCTTTGCTAGCAAATCTATCAATTCCCGGTACCCTTTTGCCCAGACCATCTTTCCCAAGAAATATGCTCCCTTAGAGAATGCCTGATGCCCAAGTTGTCTTTCTGCTGCTACTTTCTCTCCAACTTCTAGAAACCTTGGATTTACACCATGAACATTGCATATGACAGACTTTGGCATATCCTGAGTTGCAGCAGATAGACGAAGAACCTGTATAAAAAATCCACACCAGTTTATTTTAAAATATACAGCTTCTAATTCAACTCTAAATTAGTCAGTATAGTATTGTAAAGGACAAATACATTCAGTTTTTTTGCTACCCATATAAGCAGAGAGAAAACAACTACTAAAACAATTACTTAGGATGAAGGATGTATSTTTCAGGTACCACAGAAATTACCATAACAAACAATCACACATTCATACCTTGTGGCAGTATGCTCTGGCAACCCAATTATTAATGTGTTTGACAAGGAAAGCTTGGAAAGCTCCATACTTCTCCCTCTTGATGTATTCCAAATAATTGGTGTGAACAACACCAACCACATGATTGAATTTATCAGTCCAACGTTTACCATGATGGTACCAGTTCAAGTGTTCTGGTTCTTCCAGTATGGCAATGTCAGCTTCCTTGGAAGAAATAAACTGTGACGTATCCCCAGTGGGTATTATACTACGCCTTTCTTTTGAGAACTGAAAGTTAAGAAGTGCAAAAGTGTTGTATAAACAGCCTACTTTCATGTAATCAAGATGGTACAGCATACAACATAAAGTACATACCTTTCCTGGATAGAAGGAAATTTTGAATTCTGCCTTGAAGCCAACCCTTTCCTCCAGCCAGTTTCGTATGTAACTTTCCTGCTCCTCTGGTGAACTGAAAATAAGATTGTTGGGATAAACTAGCTCCTGGTCTGATTTGCAAATCCATGGTACTAGCAACGTTACATTTTGTTTTGCAGACTTGGCCAGATATGCTGCTCGGAACAGTGGATTTACAGCTGTCCCAGTCATCCAAGGAAGACTAGCAGTTGTTACAATGGCAACATGCCTTTTCCCATCTTCTGAGTCATTCTTTACCGAATCAGTCCAAAGGCCACCCTCGTAACGGTGTCCTGTACAGCGGAGAACACTGGCTATCCTTGAGTCCAGTTCATCATTAATGTTCTCATGTTCAACAAAGGAGGTATCCCCTGATGACAACGAATGCAGGAGAAACTGATTCTTGCGTTTGCTGCACAATGACTCCACTATCTTGTCACACATATCTGCAACAAAACATTAAACATAGCCAACAGCAGTATCACATACATTGAACCCATTATCTTAGGCTGCTATTGGATGCAGTATAAAAAAGGTTTTCAAGATTGAAATTCGTACAATCAACTCAAATACATTTGTGGTACCATCAGAAGGGAACGGTTTGTAAAAAGTGGGAAAGTTTCTGGACTATGTTGTACCATATTACTGTGCATCAAATGTATTCAATCATTGTAAAAAGCTTAGATATGGCCTTTTCTCAACATAGTCTGGCATCTTCTTGTCACGAGCTCGAGGGTTCTAGCCTCAACTGAGCAATCAAGAGTTCTAATCTAGAAATAGCAAAAAGAAAATATACCTTATCTAAGCTCGGAAGTGACTCCCTTCTTCTAACATCTAAGAGATCTGACACCATTGTTTTATCAAAAAAAAGGGCTCTGATACCATTTAATAGTAAAACAGACTAAGGCTATCTCAAAAGTATTAACTAAGGTGATAAGGTCTAAGGATTCTGCCTATTTAACAAATAGGGGTTCTGCACAGGTATGAAAGTCCTTGCAATTAAAAGTATTAAACACCGCATCCCATTGACAACTATATTGACATACACTACAATTAGGCTACTAATGATACATTAATAGATCATCTCTACACACACACAAAATAAAAGTTTAAATATAGACCCATAACATCAGAAAGTTAATTCAACGAGAACAAGAGAAATTCCTTACCTCGTCTAAACCCAAGTTGATCAAGGAAAGGCCCTGATTGCTTCACCAAATATGCTAGAAGTTCAGGTACATCCAATGGCAGTACATCCTATCATCAAATGATAAAGAAAATAAGATTTAGCACAAAGTGACATAAGCACTCCTTTGCAAAATTTCCTACTTATCAATCTTGATTAAACTAGAAACTTGGTCCATTTCAGCCTGCTGTGTACTGGAATTGTGTTTATACCTACAGGCTTGCAGCCAGGGTCAACCTGATGTTAGGTCCATCAGGCAAGTTATGGGGCCCAAGCTTAGTACAACAATCCACATCTACCCCTATGACAAGGATACAAAGTTTAAACCAAGCCACCATCTGGCATCGTTGTCTGGACTGAGAATAGTGACAGACTTTTTTCTTCTTTCGATAAATAAGAAAGTGCAGACAATCACATGTATTACTCCAAAAAAAAATATTTTGCAAAAGAAGAGTTTGTACCAAAAGGTACACCATCAATTATACAGCACCAATGACAGGGCCATGGTAACACGTAAACAAGAAAGTGCATTTCCTCCTAATCCATTTAAAATAAAACTGATAAAACTGATAACATTGGGTGCAGAATACCATTAACATTCTCTGGATAAAGTATGAAACAAATAAAGTATTCATGATTGGCATATAGAATAGGATCCCTCCAGTCCTGACTCCCATGTGCGAGAAAAATGTTCTAAAATTAAAGCAAATTGGAGAAACAGTAAAAGCTTTCTTGGATGACAGACAATAACATGGCTATAGCTCTTGTTTCTATGCCAACGAACTSACTCCTTATAACTCCTTCCTCAATGAGGATGTTTGTCACAGAAATCAAAAAAGGGAGCGGAAAGAAGTTTGTAAAAACCTTAAAATAAATGACTTCCATGATTCATATATAAACTTTCAGTGACGATATAGTGAATGGTGGTATATGGCACTGAAGTTAAGCCAATGACAAAATATACACCTGATAAGGTGAAAACAAGCATATGCTAGATCATCAAATTTAAAGGAGATCCAATGTAATAAGAAATTGAATTTTTTTTTAAAAAAAAATTAAAGAGAGATGAAAATCAATAAGAAGCCAATATGATGTAGAAGTTATAACCCAAACCTTCGATTCTTGAGGCTCCTTGCAAATTGCTTTCTGCAAAAAAGAAAAGCCAATAATAAATAAATAATATTTGAAATGAAACCAAAAGGATGAACTAAATACAATTATACAGAAAATAATGAAAAGAAAATTCCAAAAGGCAGTATTTCTCATAAAGAAACAACATTGTTTCTTTGCATTAGGAACAAAGCAGCTCTACAAGCTTAATTTGATTAGAGAGATAATGCTTGGAGTTTGGAACATAGAACTTAGAAGGATTTGTTGCCAACTGAAAATATACACAGTTATAAAATCAATGTTGCAGCTTATTTGCACCCATTCCCCTGTCCCCTGTTATCAAAGAACCCTATAAATAAAAAATTAATAACATATTGCAGCATGTTGTGATGATCAAAATTTTCACAATTAAAGAATCTTGGGCAAAAATAAAAATGACATATTGCAGCAAGATACAGCCAATGTTTTAAAACACGGAAGCATGACGCAAGTCATTTCACTGCCTGAAGGTGTGAGGCATAGTTCGGAACATAAGAGGCATAAGCCTCCCAAGCACTAGGAGGTGAAAGCCTTCTTAAAAGGAAGAAGTGAGGAGGAAGGAGAGGAAAGAGGATCCTTTTTTTTGTTTCTTTTTTCATGAAAGATGTCTCATTGTCTTGTATTAAGAAGAATAAGATGCATGGCACTAGCTGAAAGGAAGGGTCTTGTCAAATGGAGGCAAGAAAGCAAATTGAGCAAGCCAGAGTGGAGCAAGATCCCCCTGGCACAAAAAACTAAATTGGGCTGCACTAAAAAGGTATTAGGGGGTATGGGGGACAAAGTCCCCAAACCAAGCCTTCTTTCCTTTCTCTTTCCTCCCCTTCCCTTTCCTTTTCTTTTCCTTCTCTTTTTTTCTTCTCTTTCTTTCTTTCTTTTCCTTCCCTCYCATTCCATTTCTTTCTTTCTTTCTGCCTTTTCTGTATGAGGCATGCATGAGGCGTATGAGGTGTGCAGCTCATGGACCTGAAGCGTATGCCTCAGAGGCATCAGCACTTCTAGCACACGCCTCAGGGCATTTGCTCACACCTTTTAAAACACTAGATATGACCAAACTTTATGATAGACAGCTTCTCTTCTCGTCAACCACTCATCCTTTCAATCAAAACTAAAAGTATTACAATATTTAATTTGATACAGGAGCAGAAAGTACCCAATAAAGATGTAGCTTTAACCAAAATGAACTTCAGATGTTTAATATGGATCATTAATCTTGCGAGTGTATTGCAAAACCATGCAACTTGGCACCCATAGATTGGAGCAGTTTTTAATAAGTTGGTTAACTACATATCACTTTGCTAAAGCCCCTCCCCAACGGCAGCACACCTGTAAGGTATATTAATACAAAAAAAAAAAAAAGAGCTAGAACTGACAAACAAACAAATAAAGTGTCTCTCATCAGCAGAGTCACTAGTAGACTACCATAGCCAGGTTATTATCATTAACAGCCTAAAAATAGCAAATCATGTCAATAAACATATACTAAATTAAGCACTCGGAAGATAGTCCTAAGCAACTCTCAACTTAACTGAAAATCAACTATGCCTTGTCCCAAATATATGGGGTCAGCTACATGAATCCCGTTCTAGCATCTACCATGTTTAATGACCCGTGTATACCTCTAAAAGATAACTAAAAATTAAATGAAAAACAACCAAAATAAAGGTGTTTGGAAGTTCAACGAAAAGCATCATAGCTGAGCAAGTGAAGATATCAAAACTCTGGAGAAATAAAGTAATTTAAGGACTTAAAATCATTTTTTAACATTTCAATGTCATGTGAAAATAAGTGAATGCTGTCACAGTCTTTGCAAAGGAAAGCGTTGTAAGGTATTTCATGTATTGTTATGCAGGAATGGCCATTTATATTGTTTTTCTCTTACCAAGCTTGTTTTTCTAGAGCCTCTTTTCCCTCTTTGTACTTGTTCTATGCATTTCCATTATTAAATGATGGTCATTTGTATATTTCTAGAGCCTTTCTGGATGTATGTTTTATTTGTCATGCAGCTGGTTTGTATGGATTTTTCTTAAGGGGTCGGGTTTGGTGTTTGGAGGTGAAGTTTGGTATCTTTTATTCTCTCAAGTGACTGTAGGTCACCTTCCTTTGTAATCTCTCTTTTTATTTTAAAAAAACTTTCTTTAAAAAAAAAAAAGTTGCAAGTCCCTCTCCAGATTAAAACAATTTTCCTAACTGATGAGTAGTTTCAATTCCTACCTCCATTAATATGCTTTTACACAATCTSCTAAAGAATATAATCATATATCTTCTAGCTGTATTGAATCTATTTACACTATAAATTAATTCTAGGTCATGAAAACAAAAATAGTTTGAACCTGTAAACTAATCTAAAATATGTCTAAAACTCTATTTTGGATCTTATACATGACTGTCAGAATATAAAGAAAACTATAAATAAAGTAAAAAACAAAATATATACTAGCCAGTTCTACTTGAATTGATTAGATCCCAAAATAACATACTCCACTCAGATATACAAAAATAACCGACAAAGAGGACAGAAGGAAATAACTTCAAACTTAGACCATGTAACAAGCCCCGTTTACCCTTCAAATCCAAAACTATGTCTTTAGCACAAGAAGAAAGTTAATCCAAGACAAAGACCATGAAAGCTAATGCTTTTCCCTTGCACTTTTCACAGAGGCGAGTAACATCTTCACATCTTAGATTTTTGTACTAAATCTTTATTTATTTACTTATTACTTCTGTCAAAATTTATAATCAGGCTTATAACTACATCTGTCGACCAAAAAAGGAGGAAATAAAGCCTATTACTATACTCACATGTATTTTAGGCAACATAACCATAGCCAGAGTCATCATACTAGGACAAAAGACACCAAGTTAGGGTAAAACTGCTCGAGTTCATAGTTTTGTCAAAAAACTCAAAACAAGATGCGCAACCATGAGGCCAATAATTCCAATCCCAACTTACACAACCAACAGAAATTAAATAATCCAATAAATTTACCTTCACAATCAAGGCATAATAAAGATCGTATTTCATATGTAATCGTCGGAAGCTATAAAACCTAGTAATCCATCCAATTAAACTTCCAAGTTCTAACAGAAGGGGAGAAAGAACGTACCAGACTCGATTTCACTTTCTCCACAAACTCGCTGTTCTTAAAATTGCTGAAGATCTCAGACGAAGAATTCTTATGCTCAAATTCCTTCAACCTCGTCTTCAACGCCTTAATCGGCTCCCATTCTTTCTGATTTTCCTCACCCTCTCCCTTCCACTCCCACCGAAACTCCTTAAACCTCACCTGTCTCCCACGCCGAATCCTCTCCCAATCACCAAATTCAACAATTCCGCCCTTATCCTCGACCTCAGACACAATAGCGTTCTTTATTGCAGACAAATCAATCCGAATCCTCGATCTAGGGCTCCATTTCTCCAAAACCTTCCGGCTAAAATCCGGAGACGAGTATGCTCGACGGAACTCAGAAAGTTTCGGCCGAAGTCTCTTGACAAATTCAATCTCAGTGGGTGGAGAAGATCGGATGGCAGGAACAGAGAAAGTAGAAGCCGAATGGATGAAGTTCTCGAGCTCCCTATCGAACGAGGTGGCGAGGTTCTTGAAGGAGTTCGCTCTAGCTCTCATCAACTGGAAATCCGCATCTGCAGAGTCTCTTACTTCTCTCCACCCTTTCGAGATGAACGAGAAAGCCTTCTCTGCTGTTACTGCAGAGGAGGAAGGACGAGTTTCTGCTCCCATATTCATCATGGACAAACTTAAATCAAATTGAAGAACCAACACTTCGAATTAGGGTTTGCAATTAAGTTTGCTGATTCTCTCTTTCAAGAAAGACCGGTAATATAGATAAATTTCCAGAGATAGAGAGAGAGGAAGAGTTGAGCAAGCGACAGGGAAAACCAGAGAAAGAGAAAGAGACGGAAAGAGAAGACAGGGGTGAGAATTTAACGGTCGGAGTTCCGTTGATTTCACACCATTTTTTTTTTTTTCTTTTTTCTGGCCACGTAAGACACGTGGCAATCTTGGTAGATGGGCAGATATGCCGACGTAAGGCGTTCTCACGTGGTTTGATGACGTGGCTGGAGATTATTGGGTGTATCGAATCTGTGATGCAATGGTGGTATTATGCGGAAGATTCTGGGGATTAGATTTTAGAATATTGGAATATGCTAGACGTGGGCAGAAGGCAGCAGCCCTCGTTTTCGGAGTCCTTGATCTTGACTGATGAGAGGTTGATGTGAAGGTATATGGGACCCATAGTTTGTAGTCTAGAGTACTTTTGATATCAGTTAATCAGGTTGTGGGTCGTCCACTAATTGACGGTTGTGAATGAATGTCAGTCTGCGTTGAATCAACGTGCGACACAGCACCACTTTATTTTACAGGTGATAATCATGGTTTATGATTTAATCAACCACGCAAATCACAGTTTCAGATGGGAGGACGGGGGTGAAGTGCGGCTGTGATCTAATCCGTCTACTGGGTAGACTCTCATTTTGATCATCGAGTTGAACCACATGATCAGATGATCAGGAATTTTGATGGCACGTGAGATCAGTTACAGCCTACAGCTACAGGGGAAGTAGGAAAAGGTGAGATATGGCGTACGCGTCGTAGGGCGGAGTAGGGGAAAGCTGGTTGCTTAAATCTAAGGATCCAAACCCAGAGCCCGTTTTACGTGAATATTGACTGGGAGACTAGTACAGGCAAATTCTGTTTTTGATACGTATCTCTATCTATAGGCAAATTTTGGTACATGCATGATGCAACAACACTCTCTCTTCGTCTCGTCTAAAACAGACACCACGCGGAAGTAGCCATTCAATTTATAAAGAAAAAGATATATTTTTGTCCAATAACCTTTAATAGAATGCAAATCATTTCACAATTATTTATTAGAAAAATAATATTTTGAGGAGGATTAAGGAAGTTCAGTAGTTATTATTGGGTGCTCCTTCTACTTGTTCTCTAATTAATCACAATTGTGCCTTTTCTAAACAATTAGATATTATTTTGGCTCGTGAAGAAGTGTTTTGGGATCAAAAATCTAAAATTAATTGATTAATAAAGCTAGGTGACAAGAACAATAAAAGAAATTGAAACGAGATGACTAGAATTAAGAACAAAAAGGTGAGTGGATCTACCAAGACAATGATATTCGAAGTCATTTTTGTTTCATTTTTTATAAGAGATTTAAAGTGGAGGGCACTTCTGGGAGAGATCATATCAACGCTCCATGCTTGTTCTAGCTTTCTGGGTTTTTCACCAAACATAGATTCTAGTCTTTTCATATAGGGCCCACCTTGTAAAGGCAAGCCAAAGTCACTACATGAAATCCCTCCCAAACAGGCACTAAAAGAAGCTTCAAACCTTCAACAAAAAGTCGTATTCTTGACTTTGATGACTATTTTAGGCTTTATGGAATTTCACAAAACATTGGTTATAAACTCTTCAGGGCGGGGGGCGATCTTGTAAAACCAGAAGCCACTATGTAAAGGCCTTCCCAAATATGTACTAAATCCCGAGGTTCAGTTTGGAAGGGAGTACAAATGCAAATTTGTAGAGTGCAAGACCTTATATTTTGTATTATTTTGTACATATTTGCATTTGTACTCCTTCCAAACTGAGCGGGCGCACTAGGAAAGCCCAAATCTATTGTCCTTTGGCTTAAAAAAAAAAAAGCTTTCAGTTGAAAACAACTTATAACCAAAGCTTCAAACCTTTTAAATAGGCTTTCTAAAGAGGCAAAATTTCAAGATCGGCTTCCATCAAGGCAAGCCCATGCCATACCATTCCAACTGCCTTTTGTAATTTTGCATTGACAATATCTCTCCATGAAATAAAGTACATGAACAGGGAGATATTCCCAATGCAAGGCTATAAAGGCTACTGATGAAGGGTAATTTGGTCCTCTGAATAACATCAAGACACATGGCTTTCAAGTGACACATCGGTGCTGAGTAACCAGGTCATCTCGGTAGGTCAGCTAGTAGCTCCTCACTAGGGCCGACCTAAAGGACCTCTGAACAATGAACGACCTACCTTAGAAACCGACCAAGATAAGACGGGTACTATTGACGACCTACAAGGCATACTCGCTGACTTGTCGCATAGATCCGTTGCCAAACCGAATCCTCTAGACTATTAATGAGTCAACCGTTGGGCCGGCCTACTCGCATCACGCGCATCATAGCTCACCAGACAGACCTTTGCCCTCTATGCAAATTACGTAACCGATATCATTACTCTCCCGGCTTAACGGAAATAGCTCTATGAGAGCTTGGGACCCATTATAAGAGGTCTCTGACCACTCACACCTATATAAAAGTTTCATTTCTACCTAAAGAGGTACGGGCGATTAAGCTCTCGCACTCTCTAATTTCCTAAGAACTCTTTGCTAAATTAAGCATCGGAGTGCCCTCCCCGAGTAAAAGCAACTCGAGCACTCTAACTTTCTCTCTTGTAGAATCACACAGCTCGTCTAGACTTAGCTCGGCCCAATTCAGCTCAGCCACCGATAGAGCAAACATCCGATTCAGCATCAGAGTCGGCCTCATGAAAGCCACCAGACCGTGCTCCATCAGCTGCTCTAATGGGTTTTGCCCTAACCGAAGCCAAACTCCAAAATTCCATACAAAGAGAGTGAAGTTTGCATCATCACCCAACAAGACATGCAAGTGGACACATGTCACACGGTTACAATACTGTATCCCTTGCATATGTAAAACTGATATTGATCAGCATGTCACTACCTAATAACAAAAAGATTTGCCTTAACAAAGAGCATGCTTTCCACAAAAATGTACAAATTAAACATTTAATGAAAGAGACTAAGGCCATTTTTGGAAGTGCTTATGTTAAAAGTAAGTGTTTATTGAATAAGTGTTTATTCAAATAAGCATTTATTTGCATTTGGCACACAGTTTTTTCAATTGTTTATTTTAAAAATAAACACTTATTTCATGTTGGGCATTTGTTGGTCTTTTTCTCCAATAAGCAATTGTGACTCTTTTGCCATCTATTTTCTTTCAATTTTTCAAAAGATCCAATTCAAAGTGAATGAATAAAAGTACTTTGATAGAAGTGCTTTCATAAAAGTACCTCCATAAAAATGCTTTTGTAAAAGTACTTTCATAAAAGTTTTATAAAAATGATTTCATAGAAGTACTTTCACAAAAGTACTCTTATAAAAGTACTTTTATAAAAGTGCTTTCATAAAAGTTCTTTTATAAAAGTGTTTTTCGTAAAAGTATTTTTATAAAAAGTGCTTTTATATAAAAATACTTTTATAAAAGTGCTTTCATAAAAATACTTTCCTAAAAAGTGCTTTGTGATTTCAGAAAAATACTTTTACATTCATAAAATTACTTTTGTAAAAGTGCCTTTGTAAAATTGCTTTTGTAAAGGGTATAATTGGTATTCTAAAAATTTACCGAGGACAATTCTGGGAGAAAATTTTGAACAAGTGCTTATTGTATGAGCACTTATTTCGGGCTTATTTCCCAAACACCAATAAATGCTTAATGGTGTCGTCCCCACCCAAATAAGCACTTATTTCGAATATGCACTTATTTTTAAGCATCTCAAACATGGCCTAAAAGACATTCTAAGGAAAAAAGACAAAAGGAGAAAGGGGACAAGAGAACATGAGACTCAAAAGAGCTAAGCTCAACAACTACAAAGGAAAGGCAAATGCTATAGCAAAGCCATTGCACCATAAACCCTATGAATTTAAGCCTTCCCCCCCTAAATTTGACAAGTTACCTACTTGTGGCATCACCTCTCTTGTTATATGAAATTAGATTTATAATGTAATGGTTTATCACTTGGCAAATAATGCCAATGTATAGAGTTTGAATCTACTCCCAACAAACTAACTGATGGTAGCTCAGGTTGTATGTTCTCTGGCTGGTTAAAAAAGACTTGGGATCAAACCCCTGCCACCAGGACTGGGGGTTATGGGTTGTATTTGTATAGCCCCATAAAGTCAAATAACAAGAACAATGACAATAATATAACAACCCATTGGTTGTATAGCCCCATATTATCATTGTTCTTGTTAATATGTGCCACTGTAGTGTCTTGTTCGATGCATTTGTTGGGAATGGATCTGATTCCCAACATATACCTCCTCTGATTCAGTGTCTTAATTGGATTCGAATATGATACCAAAAACAAATGATACTGGAAAAATTTACAGCCAACCAACAGATGTCATAAAAGAGGTCATGATACCACTCAGGGGGTATTCATCAAAATTCACGGGATGCTTTGATTGGTCAAAGCGATTTTGGTATAATGCCATTTTTGTTGTAGAGTATTCTTAGTATTCAATGTGGTAATTGCATTCTTTTTCCACATACCTTTTTATGTTTGGTTTAAAGGAAAATGTAGGAAAAGAAAATGAAAGATAAAGAAACCTATTCAAGATTTGTAAAGGTTTTCCGACCTTTCCTTACCTTTTCCTTCAAAGCAAACGTAGAAGAATAAAGACATTCATAAAAGCGATTTGCTAGTGGAAGTGTGTATTGGGGTTGTGAACAAAAGAGTTGCATGTGTATGCCTTAGGGCCTTGTAATTTTTCTATCCATCCAATATATCATGTATTAATACCTACTAATGAATGTGTCCCTAACTACAAAAATGGTATATGCCAAAATATAATTTGAACAAATGAGTTTTTTATATAAAACTTTATTTGAAAAGGATCAATACCTGATTTGTGTGTCCTATCTCTATAGCTTTTTGAACCTTTAATTAACCTATAAGCCCTTACTTCATTTTTTATAAAAAAAATAAATAAATAAATTGCCTCTACAAAACCCTGGGCCTGACCTATTCTATTAAGCATGTCATGTAAATAGTTAGAGATAGCCGTGGTTCAAACTTCAAAGCATTGAAAGTTGAGTATTGATCATGTGTGTAATCA